GCCTCGGAGCCGGTGCCCGGCGCGGCGGGTCTCCGCAACCACGGCAACACGTGCTTCATGAACGCCACGCTGCAGTGCCTCAGCAACACCGAGCTCTTCGCCGAGTACCTAGCCCTGGGCCAGTACCGGGCGGGCCGGCCCGAGCCGTCGCCTGAGCCCGAGCAGCCCGCGGGCCATGAAGGCGAGGTCACCGAGCAGCTGGCGCACCTGGTGCGGGCGCTCTGGACGCTGGAGTACACTCCGCAGCACAGCCGCGACTTCAAGGTGAGCGCGGGGCCCCGGGGCGCCGCAGGTCCTGCAGGGACGCTGAGAGGCCCGGGGAGAAAGAGAATTCCTCCCTTCACCCATTCATGCGTGCAGCGTGTCCAGAACCCAGAACACACGCGCCCGCTCCTGTGATCGGCCCTGGGCAGGGATGTTGCCTGCAGCAAGACCCTTCCTTCGTGGACCTCGTCGTCTTGGGCTTGGGGATGGGTGGGAGAGTGCCGAGTCCGAATCCAGCAGCGTCCACCTTTCCCTAGCAGATTAGCCAGGTTCTTTGTGCTCCCGATGATCTGGTACCTACTGACAGCAAACAAGTTGGCAGGCTACTTTGAACACTATGAAGAGACCCAGTTTGGACACTTTTACACCGTTCAACCTGATGGGTAAAGTGCTTCAGCTGTGTCTAGTACCATAAATGCACAGTGCTCTTTTGTATTTATTCTTAAGTGAAAGGTATTATCTGATAGTAGTTTGAGGAAGGTAGATCATGATGTGATAGATGGTCCTTGGGCCTTGGTTTGCTGGCTGCTGGCATACCTGCCAGTGAAGTGAGAGGATGAGATTTAAGAGCAGAGGGTTGGGCTGGGCCCTGAAGGGAAGGTGGAGGGTCATTTAGGCTGCCCTGTGGAATGGAGCGCTGCTCCAAGTAGACAGGTGATTGGAGACTGTATAAGGGATACTCTGAGGTGGGATATGGGTGTGGAATAAAATAGAATGAAGTCACACAGCGAAAAAGAAATGAGTTCCTTTCATTCCGTTTGGTTTTTCATCATTTCCAGGAGGACGCCTTAATTTGATGTTTAGCCAGTTTTTAACACATCTGCTTCACCCACATATTGTACTGGCCCTCTTCTCTATTTTTTGAGACAGCATTTCACTATGTAATGCCCAGGTGACTTACCATTTGAGAGCCTCTTGACAGCCTGCTGAGTGCTGGGATTACCATCCCACTCTTCTTAAAAAATTTATTTTTATTTTATGTGTATGAGTGTTTTGCCTGCATGTATGTAAGTGCACCACAGGCATGCAGTGCCCTTGGAGACCATAAGAGGGCGTTGGATCTCTTGGAACTGGAGTTAGAGACGTCTTTCAGCCACTCTGTAAGTGCTGGCAATTGAATTTGTCTTCTGTAAGAGCAGCCAGTGCTCTTAAAGCTCTTAAACTGCTGTCTCCAGCCCTTTCCCCACCCCCCCCTTTTTTTTTTTAAATAAAGAACAAGCTTAAAGTTTAGAGGTTTTGGTAGGCAACAGTAACTAAATTTACTTATTAAGTTTTTTTTTTTTTATTGTGAATGTGTATGATGTGTGTGTGTGGTGTGTATGTATGTGTATGTGTGTCTGCTTGTGAGCCATAGCTCATATGTGGAGGTCCGAGGACAACTTTGTGGAGTCAGTTCTTTCTCTCCTGCCATCTTTGTGTGGATTCTAGGGATACAATTCAGATGGTCAAGCTTGTGTGGCAAGCAGTCTAAACTGCTGAGCCATCTTGTCAGCTCAACAGTAGCTAAATTTAATAAGGTTATGCTTTTATTGGACTTGTTCTTATTTGCCTTCTATTTATGGCAGATGGTACTGGTTTTCCATCAGTGCTATCAGGTTTCTTTCTAAAATACATTTCTTTAAGTAATGATTGGATTGCAGGGTAGAATGGTGATGTAACTGAGGAGTCTGCATTGCTTAAGGTCCTGCCTTGCCGAGGAGCAGCACTGCCATTGTCCACCCCTCCCTTTTAATCATGTTTGCTTATGTTTTATTTATATTGCTTAAAAAGAAAAAGTGGTTGCTGTTTGATCCTGAAAATTTGAATGGAAAATCTTGGCTGAGATTAGGGACTGGAAAACCAAAGAGGTTCATGTAGGAGATCTCAAAATGAGAAAGTTGGAGAACAGCTATGCTGGCGGTTGGAGGGTCCTCCCTCCTTTGCTCATAGCTACCGGGAGTGGCCTCACAATTGGAAGCTTTTGAGGCTAGAACCCGGTGTGAGGTTGTCCTTTCTTCATTGTGTCAGCATTGTGGGAACATTTCGGTTGCTTTTGGGAGGTGCTGTTCACTTCTGTAGCTGTGAGAGAGCAGGAACCGGTTAATAACTGTAGATGTGTAAAGACGGATTGTTGGACAGATTTTGGCAAAGTTGAACGCATTCTTAGAGGTCATTTCCATTGCTCACTTTTTCAGCCATTAAGCTACCAAGAGAAATGGGTCAATACTTCTAGAAGAGCGGAGACCAGAGGCATACTTTGGCAAAACCGAGACATTCTTAGAGGCCCTGTCTTTGAAATTCTAACCTTCTGATATTCAGTAGAATTGCTGTCCATTCATTCATTCACCTTTGACTGAAGGGTTGGTTACCCACCAGTTAGGAATGCATTCAGCACCAGAAAGGAAGTTCCCTAATGAGAGTGGCCTCGAAGTAGAAATGTGCACCAGGTTGGCTGGCACCAGTAGTCTGCAGGTAGGTGGTTCTGTGGTTCTTTAGAAGCTTGTCAAGTCCAGGGCCAACCAGACCATTCTGTTCCCACCCTGTTCTGAAGCCCTTATTGGCCTTTTGTTCTCATGTTGTCCCCTCATGGTGACATGTCACCCTGCATTCAGTTAGGAAGGTAGGAAGTCATTAGAGAATAAACTTTCTCCCAGAAGCCCCCTGAGCAGGTGCAGGCCTCTGCTGTCACCTCACTGACTAGACCTGTGTCAGTTGGCTGCCAGCGGGGCTGGAAGGGCTGTTTGTATTTCCTGCTTTAATAGAGGAGATGAATAAAGGAGGGCGTTGTCTCATAGGCAGCCCACCCAAGTACCTCATCTAACGTACCGGACACTTTGATTTGAGGAAGAATCTGTACCTGTTGTGAGTAGAGTCCAGCAGGACTTAGGTTCCCTAAGAGTGCTTCTTGTACTTTAACTGACATACAACTTACTTAAAATTCATAGGAGGATCTTGTTACAAAGTAAATACGGATTTGCTGGGGTGGGGGCCTCACAATCTACCTTTTTAACAAGCTCCTGGGTGATGCTGCTGCTGCTGGTTAAGGACCATACTTTGGATAATAGTAGACTCTAAGAACTATGGGAGAAAACATCACAGAAAAGAAAGGATACACAGAAATTTCCTGGGCCAGGAAGCCATAGGGGGTAGTATGCAATTGCATGTACTGTTGAGGAAACAGGCATTTAGTGGCTGGTTGCATCATTGGTGGTCTTGGTGGTACAGACCACTTGGTAGGAGCTGGTTATAAAGAGATTGGGAAGGGCTTTGTGGGCTGGTTTGGACTTCATCCTCTGGAAGCTGAGAACCAGAGCTGATATTTTAAGTAGGGGAATGATAAGATTTCCCTCTCCTCCCCCTCACCCCCTCTGTCTCCCTACTTCTCTCTGTGTGTGTCTCTGTGGAAGATTGGTCCTCCCCCCTTTTTTTCATGGGCTGTAATTTTGGGCATAAAGGAAGTTGAAGGTGGATGTGAACCTTATCCGTTCCCATCCCCTGGCCTGTCTGTGGCAGGCATGGGTACTTATTCCCATACTTACATATTCAGATGGCCCACATCAAGCCTTAGAATCCTTTTCAGTTTTGGGTTCCAGGCAGCTACTACGAACCAGCTGATTTGGAGTTGGCAGAGTAGTTAAAACCAGTTTGCTTTCTTGAGAGTCTAGAAAAGCACTCATTGTGTGAGTGTGCTCTATCATGTTAAAACTTTCCAAGTTTCTAATGCTCAGTTTTTCAGTTAGAATTCCTTCCTTCTAACCACATTGATTTGAGCTTAAGGAGCTTGCGAGTAGATGGTTTTTTGGTTTTGGATGGGCTATGGTTGTGAAAGTTGTCTTCATTTGCTGCTGGAATGATAGCAATTGGTGCACCAACCTTACTATGCTTCAAGAAACCTCTAGCTGCAGCTAGTATCCTCCTTATACATATAACTTCTCATGTTTCTAGAGCACTGGTTCTCAACCAGGGCACATACATACCTCCCACCCCCTAAGACATTTATCTGTGTCTAAGAGCCATACTTGGTTGTCACAAATGGGGTGAGGCTGCTGTTGGCATCTACTGGGTAGATTTGAGGGATTTTGTTACATTTAGTAAAATGTGTGAGACCACCCTCACCCCCTCAAGGATTTCGAGCCCTAAATGTCAGTAGTGCTGATGTTGAGGAAACGTTTATATCTCCTCAGTGCAAATTCCCCGTACTTTCCAAGTCTCCAGCTGTTTACCTTGTAACTTTGTCCTTGTGTTTGTTTCTGCAGCACTAGGGTAAAACTTGGACTTGACCCTTGTGTCAGCCACTTTCTTAGAAAACAGTGAAAGTAAATAAATCATTTTGAAATCTGGATGTTCATTCTGGGTTTTGAGGGGAAAACAGCTTGCTGCTCTTAACTTTACTAGGAGCAAGGCTGCTCAGGCTCCTATGGGTGCTTTTGATTTATAGTACTTGGTTTATAGTAATTTTGCAACAAGTAAAAAGGATGGGCCTCTTTCAAACAAGAGAAGTGAGTTGTGTAGCAGCCGTATTCAGACCATGCTCTCAAAGAACAGCTAGAAGAGAGTGATCTACAAAAGAACTGTGGAGATCCCTTCCAAGGTGGCAGTAACCAAAAACACACTTTGTCCTGCTGGCCTTATCAGCACAGCCACTCAGTAGACAGGTCTCAACGCAGCACTTGAACAGGACTAGCGGACATGCTGAGACTAGCAACATTTTTTCCCTCTGAGACTGTGCTGCTGAATTGTAGAGAAATAGGTCACCTGCAGCCAGCTTCCTATATATGCCATTGCTCCTGAAGCCCAGGACTTCCGGAAATATTCCTTGTAAAACAATCCTTTCAGACTTTTTAAATGCATGAGCTGATGCAGCTTCTTACCAACCTGAGGAAAGGGGAATGGGGAGAATTTTGTAAGAAATTGTTCAAGAAGGCTACTTGGGAGATGAAAATACAGAGGACAGTTGTAGAACTCCATGTTTGCTGGTGTTCTGGTTCATTTTGTGCTGCTGTAACAAAAGCAAATGCTGG